CAATTCACTTTACATTATATTCTGTGAAGCGCTTTGAAACATCTCAAAGATGAGATAAGGAGCTGTATCAAATGCAACGGTTCTATACAGTGACAGCTCAAAGCCTGGATATCTGACAGTAATTCCACAATGATTCAACAGAGGGCAATACCGTTAACAGTCTTCTCCTCCAAATCCCAGCACTTAACTAATTTTTCTTCATCGGCTTCAATGATTTGAGCCATTGAATGTTTCTTCAATTGCAGTAAATAACATGGAATAGTGTCTGTTACTAATTGTGCAGTAATCAATTATAGATTTGCTAATGGATCAGCTCCTCAGAGAGAGGCATGGCGTCAGCACGATGCAAATTAGATGGTGGTGGGTAATAGATAATGTACATTTCTGCAAACAAAATGCGGCATAAATGTGCATCTAAATAGTATCAGAAAGAAGAGCTGCACAGAGTCAATGTTAAACACCATGAAATATTGGAAAGTGCCCCCGTTCTGTCGGACTCACCGTTACCTTAAGGGGAGGGGTTTGCAATGAGGCGGCCATGAAGGGCGTTGAGATGTTAAGACTATACTTTTAGGGATCATTTCTATAGTCTCTGAACTGAGAAATGTTTTTCTGAACTTGGTCGGTTTCGCCAGCCACGAGGAGGAGACAGAGCGGTTCCTTCTGAGCGTGAAGCGGGCTGTGGGTGTTGCCATCTGTGCAAGAGCTCACAGCCATTGATGATCGTTCTTCCTCTCCTTTATGGGGAGGTGGAGGGAGGAACCGCATTCTGAGTGGTTGGCCCTTATAACTGAATGAATAGCAGTGATTGTTGCATTGGTTGACAGTGCTATTCATGTCTTCCAGAAGTCTGGAAGTGCTTCACAGAATATAGTGTAAAGTGAATTGACTGTATATTGATGGGCAAAACACAACAGCCAATTCGATTTAACAAATAGTTTCTATTTACTGTTGGGTAAACTTACTATTAAATAAACAGAGGAGTGTGGAGTAAGGAAACTTACCCAACATTTCGCCCTGCAGGGAATCTCTGCTTGGGAGGGGAGTGCTCTAACCACTGAGCTACAGGAATCCAAATGATAGATAAGATCATTATATTTGTAGCAAGGACTGGTTGGGGTCTTCCCGATAGCAGAGAGACTGTCGACATCCATGCCTTTTTCCAAAGCCAAATTGCCGAATACCACTGCCGCCCTTTATAACAGGAGATCGACTCTATACATTCAGGAAAGCATCAAGCTGAAGTTGGTAGACCAACAGATTCACCTTTGGAACCGTATTGGACAGGTACCTTTGTGGTGACCATACTCGTCTTGCAAGCGAAGGACTTGGGTTGAATTCCCGAGTTGGGCAAATTTCCTTACTTCCACACGCCTGTTTACTTAGCAGTAAGTATGAACCCGGTTGTTAGTCGATTGGCGGATTGCTTTTCAGGGGTTAATAATCCCTTCAAAACAAAAATAAATTTAAAAATTGGGTTACTCAGTCCACGACTGTTTTGGAACACAGCTGTGAGCAATTGGAGGCTGCGTTTTGCCCCCCAAAATACACAGTCAATTCACTTTACATTATATTCTGTGAAGCGCTTTGAAACATCTCAAAGATGAGATAAGGAGCTGTATCAAATGCAACGGTTCTATACAGTGACAGCTCAAAGCCTGGATATCTGACAGTAATTCCACAATGATTCAACAGAGGGCAATACCGTTAACAGTCTTCTCCTCCAAATCCCAGCACTTAACTAATTTTTCTTCATCGGCTTCAATGATTTGAGCCATTGAATGTTTCTTCAATTGCAGTAAATAACATGGAATAGTGTCTGTTACTAATTGTGCAGTAATCAATTATAGATTTGCTAATGGATCAGCTCCTCAGAGAGAGGCATGGCGTCAGCACTATGCAAATTAGATGGTGATGGGTAATAGATAATGTACATTTCTGCAAACAAAATGCGGCATAAATGTGCATCGAAATAGTATCAGAAAGAAGAGCTGCACAGAGTCAATGTTAAACACCATGAAATATTGGAAAGTGCCCCCGTTCTGTCGGACTCACCGTTACCTTAAGGGGAGGGGTTTGCAATGAGGCGGCCATGAAGGGCGTTGAGATGTTAAGACTATACTTTTAGGGATCATTTCTATAGTCTCTGAACTGAGAAATGTTTTTCTGAACTTGGTCGGTTTCGCCAGCCACGAGGAGGAGACAGAGCGGTTCCTTCTGAGCGTGAAGCGGGCTGTGGGTGTTGCCATCTGTGCAAGAGCTCACAGCCATTGATGATCGTTCTTCCTCTCCTTTATGGGGAGGTGGAGGGAGGAACCGCATTCTGAGTGGTTGGCCCTTATAACTGAATGAATAACAGTGATTGTTGCATTGGTTGACAGTGCTATTCATGTCTTCCAGACGTCTGGAAGTGCTTCACAGAATACAGTGTAAAGTGAATTGACTTTATGTTGATGGGCAAAACACAACAGCCAATTCGATTTAACAAATAGTTTCTATTTACTGTTGGGTAAACTTACTATTAAATAAACAGAGGAGTGTGGAGTAAGGAAACTTACCCAACATTTCGCCCTGCAGGGAATCTCTGCTTGGGAGGGGAGTGCTCTAACCACTGAGCTACAGGAATCCAAATGATAGATAAGATCATTATATTTGTAGCAAGGACTGGTTGGGGTCTTCCCGATAGCAGAGAGACTGTCGACATCCATGCCTTTTTCCAAAGCCAAATTACCGAGTACCACTGCCGTCCTTTATGATAAGAGATCGACTCTATACATTCAGGAAAGCATCAAGCTGAAGTTGGTAGACCAACAGATTCACCTTTGGAACCGTATTGGACAGGTACCTTTGTGGTGACCATACTCGTCTTGCAAGCGAAGGACTTGGGTTGAATTCCCGAGTTGGGCAAATTTCCTTACTTCCACACGCCTGTTTACTTAGCAGTAAGTAGGAACCCGGTTGTTAGTCGATTGGCGGATTGCTTTTCAGGGGTTAATAATCCCTTCAAAACAAAAATAAATTTAAAAATTGGGTTACTCAGTCCACGACTGTTTTGGAACACAGCTGTGAGCAATTGGCGGCTGCGTTTTGCCCCCCAAAATACACAGTCAATTCACTTTACATTATATTCTGTGAAGCGCTTTGAAACATCTCAAAGATGAGATAAGGAGCTGTATCAAATGCAACGGTTCTATACAGTGACAGCTCAAAGCCTGGATATCTGACAGTAATTCCACAGTGATTCAACAGAGGCCAATACTGTTAACAGTCTTCTCCTCCAAATCCCAGCACTTAACTGATTTTTCTTCATCGGCTTCAATGATTTGAGCATTGAATGTTTCTTCAATTGCAGTAAATAACATGGAATAGTGTCTGTTACTAATTGTGCAGTAATCAATTATAGATTTGCTAATGGATCAGCTCCTCAGAGAGAGGCATGACGTCAGCACTATGCAAATTAGATGGTGATGGGTAATAGATAATGTACATTTCTGCAAACAAAATGCGGCATAAATGTGCGTCTGAATAGTATCAGAAAGAAGAGCTGCACAGAGTCAATGTTAAATACCATGAAATATTGTAAAGTGCCCCCGTTCTGTCGGACTCACCGTTACCTTAAGGGGAGGGGTTTGCAATGAGGCGGCCATGAAGGGCGTTGAGATGTTAAGACTATACTTTTAGGGATCATTTCTATAGTCTCTGAACTGAGAAATGTTTTTCTGAACTTGTTCGGTTTCGCCAGCCACGAGGAGGAGACAGAGCGGTTCCTTCTGAGCGTGAAGCGGGCTGTGGGTGTTGCCATCTGTGCAAGAGCTCACAGCCATTGATGATCGTTCTTCCTCTCCTTTATGGGGAGGTGGAGGGAGGAACCGCATTCTGAGTGGTTGGCCCTTATAACTGTGAATGAAAGATGAGTCGTTACATTTTGTAACGGAATGTGCTGTTCGGGCTGTAGTACTCGTTACGAAGGCGGTGCTGATGATGATATTGAGGTGTCTCTATCCACCGGGTCCGGTTCTTTTATTTATTGATCTGGTCCTGTGTTTTCCCCTCTCTGCTGTTCCACCCTTTATGGGGAGACACTGACAGACAAACACGTGCATCACATACAATGTGACACATTGCTTGTGGGGAAAGCTGGAGCCTGCAAACGTGCACTGTGCACACCTTGTTAGAGCGCTCTTGTAGTATATGTTGAGTGCCTCTGTGTACACCACCGACTGCGTCCTGTCAACGTGTGCCCAGTGTAAACGCTCCGAGACGCCGTTCGGCGTGCTGTGTAAATGCAAGTTGTTGTTGCCCAGTGTACGTCTGTCTGTGTCTCCTCATCGAGGGAGGAACAGTAGAGGGGGAGTAGCCGGCCGCGTCGTGTAAATAAAGGATAGCAGAGCAGTTGCTTTTAGTCCCTGCACAGTATATCATGCGAAGCGCTTTGAGAGCTTTCCTGCGATATCAGATTCAAGGATTCTTAGGTACCAGATACCAAAATACCCTTTCTTCCCGAGTTTATGGAGCTCCTGTTAAATAACCTCACCGGGAGCGCAGTTGCGGACCCGGGTGGGGCGGGCTGCGGCTTTTATCCAGAAGAATTCACTGCATAATAATAATAACAATAATAATAATCCTGGCATTTGATACAGCGCCTTATCAGGTCTTGGAGACGTCTCAAAGTGCTTCACAGGATACACTGTAAAGTGAATTGACTGGACATCTTCGGGGGCCAAACGCGCGGCAGCCAATTGCGCACCGCGACGTCCCGCAGACAGCCGCGGGTCGAAGGGACCCCAATCAACAGTATTATTTTAATTTTTTTTAAAAAAAATGAAGTATAAACCGGTATATTCTGGCGACAGAGCTGCGAGGGGTCTCAGCGCGTGTGACGGGAACTGCCGCCTCGGCCCCAAACGCCGGGAAACAGCGCCAGAGAAAAAGGGGAAGACGTGTGAAGCGGCGGCGGCCGGAACCGGAAGCCAGAGCTCAGACCGGAAGTGCAGGGCCGGGGGAGCGGAGAGGCGGTAACACCGGTCCGTTCCCGGTCTCCCTCCTCCTCCGCCGGTCTGTCTCGTCCCGATCCCGACACCTCCCCCTCTCCCGCCGCTCCCCGCCATGTGGCGCTGGGCGCTGCTCACCGCTCTGCTCGCCGTGTCCTACGTGTACTTCTCGGATGACGAGCTGCCGCGGGCGCTGCTGCGCTTCCTGTCGGACGGCCTGTGCCGCCTGTCGGTGCTGCGGCCGGTGGAGGAGGTGGTGTCCGAGGCCTGGGACTCGCTCATCGTGGCGCCTCGCGTGGGCTGGACCCGAGTCGCCGTGGGGTGAGTGAAGGCGGGTCCGACTGCGGGGAGGAGAGGGGGAGGGAGTGAGGGCCCGGGGGGGGGGGAGGTGGGGAGGGAGTGAGGGCCCGGGGGGGAGGAGGGGGGGAGGGCCCGGGGGGGGAGGAGGGGGGAGGGCCCGGGGGGGGAGGAGGGGGGGAGGGCCCGGGGGGAGGAGGGGGGGAGGGCCGACCGGGGAGGGCCGGTAACGGGCAGCCCGGGCGGTGGTAAGCGCGGAGCTGACGAGGCTGCCTCCCCCCCCCTCCCCCTCAGGGTGAACGCCTGTGTGGATGTGGTGGTGTCGGGGGTCGGCCTCCTGCGAGCCCTGTCGCTGGTGCCGGGGACCAGCCACGACCACGAGGCCATGAACTCCAGCGAGCAGCTGCAGGACACCTTCGCCCACTTCATGGACCGAGGCGCGGCCGCCGAGCGCCTCTTCGCGGACAGGGACGCGTTCCTGAGCATCGCCCAGACGGCTTCCGTGCAGCCGGGGGCCAAGGTAGGGCCGCTCCGCCCGGTTCAGAAAGCGCCTCTCGGGCCTCACTCGGTGCAGTTTTAAGAGGCGAGAGACAGAGAGAGAGAGAGAGAGAGAGGAGCAGCCGCTGAGGGGGAAAAAAAGGTCACTCGTCAAAAAAAAAGATTAGTGGTTTCCCCTTCGCTCTCTCCCCACCGTGTAAACTGGGGATGTGTTTCGAAAGGAGAAGTCTGGACCTGTGTGTGTGTATGTGTTGTGTGTGTGTGTTGTGTTGTGTGTGTATTTTTCTTCTGATCAAGAAAAAAAAGGGGGGGTTTTGGGGGTCAGTCTCCTTTTATCAGGGGGTTTGGGAGCCACTCAGGGAATCTGCTGCTGAAGTACCCGCTCTTCCATTCTGCTCTGGATCTCTGGATCCCCGGACAGGTCGCGCTTAACCAATTCCGGTTGAATTTTTTTTTTGAGGAAGTCACTAAAACGGTCGTCGCTAAGAGAGCGCCGACGGACGTCGTTTTTACGTGGACCTTCGGAAGGCATTTGATAAGGTTCCGCGCGCAAGATTATTAGCAGAAAATCGAAGCGCACGGAATCGGGGGGGAACCTTGTGACGTGGCGTCGCAATTGCTTGGGAGGCAGAAAGCAGAGGGTAGGGATTAAGGGAATGCTCTCTGATTGGGGGGACGTGACAAGTGGTGTCCCCCAGGGGTCTGTATGGGGACCTCAGGTTTTTGCCATATACATAAATGACTTGGATGAAGAAATAGAAAGTTTTATCTGCAAGTTTGTGGATGACACGAGGAAAGGAGGTACAAGTAGTGAAGATGGGAGTAGGAAGTTGCAGAGGGACTTGGACAGATTAAGTGAGTGGGCAAAGCTGTGGCCGTTGGAGTTCAATGTAGGGAAGTGCGAGGTCATCCACTATGGACCGAAAAAAGATAGGGCAAAATACTTTCTTAACGGGGAGAAATTAAAAGCTGTGGAAGAGCAAAAAGATTTGGATGTCTATATCCACAAATCGTAAAACTAGTTCCCAAATGCAAAACATAATCAAAAAGGCAAATAGTATGTTGGCCTTTATCTCGAGAGGCCTGGAATACAAAGGGGAAGAAATGATGCTGTATAAAGTATTAGTCAGACCCCACCTGGAGTACTGCGTTCAGTTTTGGGCACCACACCTCAGGAAAGATATATTGGCCTTGGAGGGGGTGCAGCGCAGGTTCACCAGAATGTTACCAGGTCAAAAAGGGTTAAGTTACGAGGAAAGGCTGCGTAAACTTGGATTATATTCCCTCGAGTTTAGAAGATTGAAGGATGATTTGATAGAAGTTTTTAGGTTGATAAAGGGATTTGATAGGGTAGATGCAGAAAAGCTATTTCCTATGTTGGGGGAATGCAAAGCAAGGGGGCATAGTCTTAAAATTAGAACCAGACCATTTAAGAGTGAAATTAGGAAGCATTTTTTCACTCAAAGGGTGGTAGAAATCTGGAAATCTCTCCCCCAAAAGTTTGTGGATGCTGGATCCATCCACACCTTCAAGAAAGAGATTGACAGATTTTTGGTAGGTCGGGGTATTAAGGGATACGGGGAAGTAGCAGGAAATTGGATTTGAAATTCTAGTAAAGATACAGATCAGCAATGATCTAATTAAATGGCGGAACCTGCTTGATGGGCTGAATGGCCTACTCATGTTCCTATGCTGCAACGTACGACAGAATCGCGTTCTTCTTTTTAAACGAAATACATCTTGCTGCCTGCATCTTGCCCTCTTCAAGGTGCTTGAGTTTTTTTTTAAAAGGATGATATATGGTTCCAAAGATCTTTACCTAAATTGCCAGAGGCTGTTTGACTTTGGAGGCATTGCAGCCTAAACCCACCTTCAGTAAACACTCACCTCAGTAAACACTCAACACTCATTCTGCCTTTAAGGCAGAAGGTCACTGAGTAATAATTAGGAACAGAGATTCTGGCTGATTTTCCCCTTCTGTAGACCAGGACAGTTAAGGTGCTTTATGACTCTTAATAGCTGCCATTGTTGAGACCAGCTCTCTCTCAGAGACTGGGGTTCAAAACTATGGCTTTCTGGTTCAGTTGTTTTTTTGCTGCACCTATTCTGACCAGTCAGAGAGAGAATATTTGTTCATTTCCTGGATGAATTTGTTTTAATAGAACTTCAATGTAAACAAAACAAATGGGAGACGAGAGGGAGAGATGTTTACTGATGAATTGCACTGAGCTTTCGTTTAATTAACTCCTTTTTCTTTTGCAGCACTTTGTTGGAGGCAATGCAGCTCTCATTGGACATAAGATGGTGACACACTCAAACCTGTCGGTCAGTCTGTTAATGCTTTCTGTTAAAGATGCAACACTGGGTCCACAAGTGTCAGAATAATAGAATGTTACAGCACAGAAACAGCCCATTTAACTATGCTGGTGTTTTCCTCCTCATCAATCGCCTAATCCCACACTCCAGCTGAAACCCCACACCCTTTGTATTGTTTAGGTATTTGTTTAAATCAGTTTTAAAGGTATTTATGGACTTCGCTTCAACCAAGGTTTGTGGCAGAAAGTTCCACGTTCCAGTGATACGAGTGGTTGAAATGTGGGATTTCTGGCCTCTAAAACAACAACAATATTATATTTATATAGTGCCTTTTACATCGGGAAGACGTAAAAGTAGCAATGGTAAATGTAAGTGAGTAGTGTAGACATGTATGCGTCAGTTACAGTACTTATATATACACTTAAAAAGAGAGACAAGTTTCCTATCACAAGTGTATTAAAGCAAAGGTTCAGGGAGCGCCATCTATTCCATTGGATGGAAGGTCACCAGTTGGCAGTTCACTGGGTGGATGTATGGTGTAAAATCACTAGCTGTCCACTGTACTTGTAAATACCTGAGAACCTAATATGATTTTTCATGGCATCACATTTGCTTTGGAGCTGTAGTGCATAAAACAACACATGGATAATTGTTCATCGTGCAGCTGCTATTCTAACATGGAATCAGGTCTAATGTTTCTTATGGGTGTTGTTTCCGTTACAGGTGCTGTTATGTGGGCCAGTGGGTCCCAAACTCCATGAACTCCTGGATGATCGGATTATTGTCCCACCAGAATCTCTGCAAGAAGTGGATGAGTATCATCTGATTCTAGAATACCAGGCAGGTGAGTGAAGAACAGAGTGTTTGGCTTTATCCAACATTTGAATCATTCTTAAACATGTCTGTACCCTGTATGGCTGCTTGCGGGACATTGCTGTGCGCAATTGTGCTGCAGGTTTTGCCTACAAATAAACAGTCACTTCATTTCACAGTGGATCCTGTGAATCCTTCCGACATGATAAGGCACTTTACCAAATGCCAGGATTATTATTATGTCTGATTTGAGAGATGAAGCTACAAATTATTGCAAGTGGTTGTGGTTTGGGTTCATATATTCAACAACTCTTGATTCTTGGACAAATTCAGCAAATTGGAATCCTAGGGGTTCCAGAGCCATGATATCTGATACTGATAACCTGAAACTGAAGCTTCCCCTCCCCCACATATCGACACATCTTTTAGGAGGCAACTCCACATTCAAAATGACTGCATTTCCGAGCACCACATTTCCCAAGATTCCAACCAGAATTGGATCACCTATACAGGAGCTCAGGTTCGGTGGTCAAACGTCCGAATAATTGGATCCAATGATATTCGATGCATTTTGAGAGTTGAGCCATTTGTGCATGTGCAAACCGGAATTTCTTTTTTGTGTGTTCTCCACTCGTTGGATAAGGGACCACGAGAAAGGCTCAGGAGCAAAGTTGGCTGATTTTCTGGAGCGTCTCTTGGTTTCTGCTACCGCTATTTGGAAAGCTGGGTTCACAGAAACGAATGCTCATATTGGTTAATGCAGCCACAGATTATTTTTTGCGACTATTGATCTGCAGGAATCTGGAAGGATTTGGGGAAGGAAACATGTGTCGTGGCAATCCAAGCATGCACAGAGGACTCGCCTATCTTTCATTTGTAAAGTACAAATGCCCTTGTTTGTTGCAGGAGAATCTTGGGGGGAGATAAAAGCTCCTCAAGCCAATCGCTTCATCTTCTCACATGATGTGTCCAACAATGAGATGAACATGATGGAGGCCTTTGTGGGAAGTCTGGAAGAATTCAATCCTGAACTGATTGTGTTATCTGGGTTGCACATGATGGAAGGACAAGAAAAGGAAATGCGTGAGAAACGACTTCAGGAGGTAAAGCAAAACCTGCATGAGCAGCTGAATTATTCGAGAGTTATATGAGTATTAAGGTTAAGGAGAATAATGAGGTGAGTGAACAGTATCCCTCAACAAGAGTCAGAAAACAACATGTAGTATTCTGCTCATTCTGTGAACACACATTTAGAGGAGGGGGAAATGTGAGATAATCCAGGGAGACTTGCTCTTTCCGCTCTTTCTGTTTAGAGGGACACTTCCACTGAGCGCAACCACACTATATTGGAGAACCAATGTGCACTTTGTACAAAGGGTTGCAGTTTTTATTTGTTGCATGCTCTCTACTAGATGCTTTTCTTGACTGAGAAGATGCCTCAGTCCTTGGCTGGTCAGTGTAGAGTAAAACTGAGTTCTATTTCCAGGACATAGAAAGCATTGGTGACATTCACCCTCGTTAATCTGTAAAGTACATTCCAATAGGTGCTTTGAAGGATGTACATACAGAATTTCTGTGCAAGTTGAGGTACCTTTGTTTTAACCAGTGATATAGTTCTCAAATACCCTTACCCCTTTGTTGTCTATTTCCTAACAGTTAGTTATAGTTAGAGGATTATGGGTTCAAGCTCCATAACAGGATTTTTAAGTTCAACCAAAGCTGACACTCAAAATGGAGTGCTGAGGGAATGCTACATTATTGGACGTGTTGCCCTTCATGTGAGAGGTTAAACGTTGCCTCTTAGATGAACGTTAAAGATCCAGTGACACAAATTCAAAATGAGAAGGGAATTTTTGCATTTTTTCCTGGGATATCATTGTGTGACAGTCACCTGCAAAGTGCAGGTTTTTGATGTGTATCAAATGCAAAGCTTCTTATTGGGTACCACCTCCTGTTTTCCTCTCACTAAAATTGCAGATTGGTCTGTTAATCTCAGAGATTTCTAATGAAGTCCCAATACACCTGGAGTTGGCGAGCATGACAGACCCGGCCTACATGACTGACATTTTGCATCAGGTAACGATTGAATACAACTTACACTTATAAAGCATTTTTTACGTTGAGAGGATGTTCCAAAGCGCTTGACAAAAACAGTGTAATGCACAATTTGGTTTTGACAGGGAAACTTTTATGTAATCCATATATTACATATATTATGTTATATACATATAAAATAGATGGCAGATTAAGTTTTATAAGGAGAAATGTGAAGTGATTCAATTTGGTATGCGTAATAAAGAAATGACTATACCTTGGATGGAAAGATCCTAAGAGGTGTAGAGGAGGAGCAAAGGGATCAAAGGGTTCAGATTCTCAAGACCAAAAATCACAGTACAGGTGGACAAGGCCTTATATCAGAAAAAGAATAAAATGTAGGGAAGTCATGTTAAATTTATGTAAACTGGATGGGGGCTCAGGTACAATTCCACCACAGTTGAATTCATTGCTGTGCTCACACATGAACGTGAGATGAGGATAAAACTGGGGAAAAGATTAGAAGTGATAATACACCTCAGGGTTTAGGCTGAATGTTGAGGGCTGCTTTGCCCAATATTAATCATTACAGGTTTATAGAAGTCGGTGCTGCGGGTAAGACGAGAAGAAGTTTTATGGAAATGGCTTCCCGTCCTTTTCCACTTGCACACGAGTAGCGAGCTGGCAGTCTGTGCCTGCTGACTATTGGGCTTTGTTCTTCTCAGCAGATTCTTCCGATTGTGAACTCTGTCGGACTGAACGAGCAGGAGCTGCTGTTCATCAGCCAGTCCGGTTTGGGACCTTACTCCTCACAAGCTTCCTGGGATGGAATCCCAGATGTTGGAAAGGTCAGTGATATCATCTTCTGGATGCTGCAGAACTACGGACGCATAGAGCCTGAAAGCGATTCCGATCTTACCCGGATCCACTTCCATACCCTGGCCTATCACATTCTGGCTACGGTTGATGGCTATTGGGCCAACCAAATGTCTGCGGTGGCAGCCGGTGCCCGGGCTGCTGGCATCCAAGCCTGCGGAGGCCCAACCATCGATCACAGGAAGTTTATTCTCAAAGCTCCCAGGGAGTTTTCTCCATCGTGGACAGACGACTCACTGAAACGGGTGAAAATTGTGCTGACCCCAACAGATCCTGTGCACATGTGGCAACGAGAAAACATCTCCTTTTATTTCACTCCTGTACTGATTTGCAAACACCCGATACGGACTGTGGGACTTGGGGATGCCATTTCAGCAGAAGGGCTCTTGTACTCTGAGCTGCAGTGAGTTTGGATGCTGACTGCTCAGTAACATGGATTAAACAAGAGTTTGCATTTAAAACATTTTATCCGCAGTTAGATTAGGACTGGGCCGTGGAGAGGCATCGCAGACTAGGTGGGGAGGTTGGGGGGGAGGGAGGGGGTGATACCAAGCTTTTAAGTGCTGTAGGTGGCAGGGATGGTACTTACAGCTTTCATGCCAGTCTCGGGTATCGTTAACCTTTAGACAGGGCTGTGCTGAAATAACTGGGGGTTGGAGGGATTGAGAGCATGAATGTTTGGAAGTGTGAGCCTTATAATAAATGTGTTCTTTATGCAAGTGCGGAGCCAGGTAAGCACAATTTACCTGTTTAGTGCAAATTCACATTTTGTAAACTTGAAGAAGGGGGATGTATGTGTGTACTGTATAAGGTAATGCTTCCACGTGCTGCACTACTGGTGCAATGCACGCAGCCAGGATTAACTGAACAGAAGTTTGCTGTTAAGCACAGGGACTTGTCGCAGTTCTTAATGCATCTGCGTTTTACTTCTGTTTTATCTTTATGCGATGGGCAAGTAGGGATGCAAAAGCAAAAAAGATATCCCCAAAAATACAAACTCGTGTTTTCATAGTTTTTATCAATTTTTATTCTGTGAACATTCCTTCATTAGAGCTTTCCTGACAGTCCATGAGATGAGCTTCTGAGTGGAAAGATGCTCACTGATTATCTGTATGTCTCTCTCACTCACTCGTTCTCTTTCTCTTTCTCTCTCTCTTTCTCTCTCTCTCTCTCTTTCTCTGTCACTCTCGCTCTTCCCTTTCTCTTTCTATACACTCCAAGTTATAAATGACCTTGATGACCGCGACTGTGTTTGCTTCCGGGGATGGATGTACGGTGAACACCTGCTTAGGGTTCATTCTGTGTTTTAATTTATTGCTGCTGAATGGAGGTACCATCTTTAGAGGAAGAAGTAGCTTTACTTGGACCAAGTGACCCCATAGTTTCTGCTTATTTCAGGCATGTCGGCTACCAAAATAAGGAAGAAAAATCCATACCTTTTGTTTTGAAAGCCAATTGTGATCACGGTTCCTATTTGAACACGAGTTTGCGTTGCTACTCCCTCAAGTGGCCCTCACTGTTACTGCCATGTGCACACTGTAAACGTACTGCGACCCCTTTGGTGGAGGCTAATGGTTTAAGTGTAGTAACTGCAGGGCAAATTTCATCCTCTGCGGCAACAATTACTAGGTACAAGAGGCTGAACATAAAATGTTTAATGTGTTGCTTCTCTGTTTTCTACTTGAACCTCTCTGAAAAATTCCGCGATTGTGACACGTCAGTTTTATTGTGTTATTCAGGGATATTGGTTTCTCCTTGGAGGGATCTTGCAATTGCACCATAATGGGAATTTGACTACATTTTTTGCTGTTATCCTTTTGAAGAATATGCGGTGTTGCCTGTACTCTTGTATCTTCTTTCTACAGTGAAAGGGGTGGGGTATGGGAGTGCAGTGGGTGTTAGTAGGAACGGGTATTGGAATTATTGGGGTATGGAAGAGTATGAGGAATACCATGGGATCTGAAGGCACTGTGGGTCATGGTGGATCTGTACTCTGCAGATAGAGGGGAGGGGGGACTGACAGCTGCTGAGAATGCTGACCTTAAGGAGCTGCTGACAGGAGTTATCCTTTGAGCAGCACAGCAGACATTTCGGTTCCAGTCTCCTGGAGCAGACGGGGATAGTGAATGAGACAGAAATTATGCTATTAAATTTTTTTTATTTCAAAGCGGCTGTGAAATTTGCTTTCAGAAATAGTAAATGTCCGGACTTTATGAAAGCAATTAGATCCAGTACATTGTTCATTTAATCCAGTACATTGTACATTTAATCCAGTACGTTGTACAAAGGAATGAAATAAATTACAACAATGGGTACTCTTATAGAAGCTTTTGAGGATTTAATAAGTTTGATTGATGTCACACAAAATGGCTTTACAGCAAAATCCATAACTTTGGTTCTACTGGGCAGTCTTGACAGCCATCTTTCCCTTGTGCACCATCTGGTGACTACTGAGAACAACTACAGTTACCCAGTGAGTGCTGGAGACCTCAAATACTGAACCTTGTTTAACTGGTGACTTTTGGAGCTGCAGACCAATTAAAAGGACCAATCCTTGTTCAGTTTGCTCCGTACCAAATAGGTTAAAGCATCTGAATCCTACCGTGACTTTTACTTCTTAACTTGCTGGTGATTTCATAGTCTGACTTTCCGTTATTTACTCTAGGCCAGTTGCTATGTTAGACTGTTGTATTCTATATGCTGTATCTATACACAGGCTTGGGCTACGTTCCAGAGATTCATGGGTGCATTTTGTTGGCAACATTGATGTGTTTTATCTCTTGTTGTCAAGTGTCTCGTATAAAATCATTTTTTTATATGTCAAACGTGGGTGGTTTATAGCACACTATCAATCCAGTAAATATTTTATTTTTTTTAACCATGATGTGGTTTTGAAACAAATTTGTTTTTTTTATAATAAAAAAATCAGCAATTAAACGTTTTCCATTTCTGGCTTTCTTTTTTCCCCTTTGCATAGCTGCCTTCTCTTGTATTTAGTCATGTAAAAACAAACTTTTACAGTGCCTTATCACATCAAAATGTCTCAAAAGTACTTTGTGGGCAATTACTTTCAAGTATAGTGACTGCTTTTGTAGGCAAATGGCAATGATTTTGTGCACTGTAAGTATTCAAAACAACCAATTTATCTCGCAAGGACAAGGCACCAAGCAAAAGTTACTTCTCTTTTCCAATAGTGTCAAAGAATCTTTCGTACTGAAGAACAGCAAATGGAAGGTGGTTTAGTAATAATACTCCTTGAATTTAACATAGTGACTTTCACGTTGGAAGAACATCTCAAAGTGCTTTGCAGGATTTACTGTGTTTTTATGTTTATATTCTCATTCGAAGGAAGCATTTTAGGGAATGCAACATTATTCCAGCACTGTACTGAATGCCAGCCTAGACTATGATCTGAAGTTTACTCCTGATTCTAGAGGTTTGTGAGACAAATGCCTGTTGCATCTAAATCCACATCTGAAGACTGAACACCAAATTCAGATCCAGTCATTTACTTTCAGCATCTAAATCCTGTGAGGAATGACCTGTGTGCCTTTGGGAAGAGTGAAATCACTGGAGAGAATTAGATGAGTGAGAATCTGAGCTCACTGATCTGAGAAAACTTGTCATTTTCTTCATTACGGAAAAAGAGAAGAAAAATATGCACTGCAAGTCCAGTGCTAGAATACAAATTTATTTTGACAAATGCCCTGATGTTTTTCACTGTGGAGGTGGAAACCTGCCTGCAGAGTGGAGAAATCCTTCCAAAAATGCCCAGCAATAGATCTGATCCATTGGCATTTGACCAGGATTATTCCCCTCTGTATCGCAAGTTGCCAAAAACTCAGTATCCAACTGGGACAACATCTTTTAAATAGTCCCAAAATGAGTTTCACGGAGGCCAAAGTAAGACATAGTTATTATAAATGCATTACTATTATAATGCAAGGTATAAAATATCTTGATCCAATTCAATCCAAACAACTTAGAAATATGTACAGGCGGTAAGCCAAGCAACCTAATTAAGTTAAACAGAAATGCTCCCAGACTGTTAAATTCAATTTGGCTCCGAAAACGAGATCCAATTTAAAGAACTAAATAGTGCAACATGACTCAAAGGCTCCCCCCCTGGGCTACAGATTGGAGGCTGGGGGTGGCAAGCAATGAGAAAAACCCTGAAAGTGCTGGTCACAATTTATGCGTGAAGCGCCTTCCGCAAAGATAGCAACCACTGGCAAACATCCATGGAACAAACATTAATTTCCCCATTCAGTCTGAACAGAACATCGAATCTCAAAGCCATAGGGCAGGTTGGGACAAATTCTCCCAAAGAATCTTTGTGCCAATCCACTTTAGTGGAGACAACTGGAAATCTGAGAACATTCATTGGATCTATCATGGAGTCCTTGTGGATGCCTGAGGACTGTATTCAGGGAAATGATCTAAAACTTGGCAGCGATGCAAGCATTGAACCGTAGAGGGAATTATGTGCTGAGTCAAAGGAGGAGAATACTTTGAAACAGCATTCCTAACTCTGGGCTGTGCCAACACTCCCTGGTTGCACCTACTGTACATGAAACAAAATTACAGTAATTGAATGAGACCTGACTCACGCCCTATTGGGACCGACTTTACACATCTTCATTCCAACCTCTGGATTTCTGCTATTGGAGCACATGGGCTCATTTTGCTTATACAGTAGGAAACCTTGGAAAATTATAGGTACATCAGACCTGCATTTTCTAAGAATGTGTTGCAGAATATGTGGAACAAATCTAGTTGAATGTACATCATCCAGCAATTCTGTGTGATTGGAAAAGCATTGGAGATGATCAAATTTATTTGCAGTAGATTTATTTTTAGAAACAAAGTGTCAGAAATTAGAATTTGGTTATCCCGTTAGCTTGTCAGCAAAAACATTGCAATCCATTTTACAAGAAACTATTCATCCAGGTTGAACAGGAATAATAACTTTCACATAAGGATAATGTGTTGAACACTTAAGAGAAAGAAATAATTCTGAGATAGCCAATGGCTTGTCACTTGCAGGGTAAGAAACGTGGAACAAGGTCACGTCTGTTTCCTCTGAAGGACTATACTCAATTTAAATGGAGACAAATCCCTGTTCAATTTCTCCCTGTTCCCCCCTAAGGTAATCTTACTAAAACTGCAGGAACTCAATCTAGCATTGCACACCTCTGACCAGTTGTATTTCACAGATATTTCCACAGTTCCAGTGACATAGACACCACCGCTGTAATCATTTGATCAGTTCTGCCTTATAATTATCTGTATAATTGGAAATCTTGTTCTGAAGGGGATATTTACAGCATGCGTTTTCAAAAGAGTTAATTCACACTGCATTAAGTGTCTTTGCTGTGAGTCTGATCCACATATCTAGTTTAAAAAAAATCTAATCTAATTTATTGTTGGAAGCTTTGTTATTATATCTATTATTTTATATAAAATTTTATATCACAGCTCAAGTTAAATAACATGCTCACATTATCCAATGCCTCCAGCATTTAAGGTTGGTGTCCCTTCTCCAATCTTATTTTTTGCAAACCAAACCGATCAGTTTTCTCAAAGCACTCTCAATCCAACAATTTCATTTTGAGACCAAGTGGGTAAAATTGCAGACTGCTCTGAATGCAGCCTCACCAATGGGTCATTCAGGATTTTAATTTGTAATTAAATGCCATTCAGATCGTGAACAGAATGCTTTAGTGAATGGTGAATTTATATTGTCTGCATTACCAATTGTAGTACATTATACTAATCAATTCTCAAGTGGGATTCCCTTCCACAATGGCTTTTGCTTTGACTGAGCTGGTCCATGAGTGGAAAAATAGAATCAAATCAGAAGCCGTAGTCTCAAAGCCCTTCAGAATGACAACGGTGATCTGGATTGGATGGTGTGGGAATATAATACTGTTAACTAAAGCGGTTTTTAAGAGGATTTTGAAAGGCAGAGAGAAGGTGCAATTTGAAGGGATTTTTTGAAAGAACTCCAGAGAGCAAGAGCATAGTGACCGATTAGGGAAATGGAGAGAGTTCGGAAAGATAAGTCAACCAATTTTTCTGACACCTTGTTGGGCAGAATACCAGGAGGAGCACCTGTTATGAAATCTTTAACCTCAGCGGCACAAGGATAGACCATGATTCAATTTCTCATACACAATGAGGGCCAGGACCTCTGCCCTGGCCCTGTCCTGGAGTTTCAGCCGAGACTTTCAGCTCAAAGCTCTGTGATGTGGAATCTTGAACCCACAACCGTCAAACCCAGTGGTACCAACAGGTATTTCTGATGAAAACAGAGTCTCTGAGCCGTGTTTGCAGGATTCTGGGATAAGAGTTTTGGGTGACTCCAGGTTGTGAATATGCAATTCCAGGCCGGGAATGAGGCGACTCCGGGCCGGGAATGAGGCGACTCCGGGCCGGGAATGAGGCGACTCCGGGCCGGGAATGAGGCGACTCCGGGCCGGGAATGAGGCGACTCCGGGCCGGGAATGAGGCGACTCCGGGCCGGGAATGAGGCGACTCCGGGCCGGGAATGAGGCGACTCCGGGCCGGGAATGAGGCGACTCCGGGCCGGGGAGTTTGGGTGACTCCGGGGCCGGGGGGTGGAGGGTTTGGGTGACTCCGGGCCGGGTGGGGGTTTGGGTGACTCCGGGCTGGGGGGGGATTTGGGTGACTCCGGGCTGGGGGTGGGTTTGGGGTGATTCCGGGCCGGGGGGGGTGGGGTTTGGGGGACTCCGGGCCGGGGGTGGGGTTTGGGGGACTCCGGGCCGGGGTTTGGGTGACTCCGGGCCGGGGTTTGGGGGACTCCGGGCCGGGGTTTGGGGGACTCCGGGCCGGGGTTTGGGGGACTCCGGGCCGGGGTTTGGGGGACTCCGGGCCGGGGTTTGGGGGACTCCGGGCCGGGGTTTGGGGGACTCCGGGCCGGGGTTTGGGGGACTCCGGGCCGGGGTTTGGGGGACTCCGGGCCGGGTTTTGCGCCGCGCACTCTCTGGGCTTCACTCGGTTGTGTGACTGCGGCTCCGACTGTCGGCTCTTCGGCTCTGGAGGACCGGACTGCTCGGGTCTCCGCCGCTCGGGGTCTCGGTCGCTCGGGGTCTCCGCCGCTCGGGTCTCCGCCGCTCGGGTCTCCGCCGCTCGGGGTCTCGGTCGCTCGGGGTCTCCGCCGCTCGGGGTCTCCGCCGCTCGGGGTCTCGGTCGCTCGGGCTCTGGGGTCGCGGCGGCGCGGGGCTGGAGGCGGTGCGGAGCGGGACGGAGGATGGCGGAGCCCCGCGTGCGGCTCCTACTGACTCTGGCGGCGCTCAGCTCAGCTACAGGCACCTCAGGTGAGCGGGAGCCCCGGGGACAGAGGCCGGGAATGTGGGAGAGGGGGAGAGAGAGGCCGGGAATGTGGGAGAGGGGGAGAGAGGGAATGTGTGAGGGAGAGAGAGAGGGAGAGAGGGAATGTGTGAGGGAGAGAGAGGGAGAGAGGGAATGTGTGAGGGAGAGAGAGAGGAGAGAGGGAATGTGTGAGGGAGAGAGAGAGGGAGAGAGGGAATGTGTGAGGGAGAGAGAGGGAGAGAGGGAATGTGTGAGGGAGAGAGAGAGGGAGAGAGGGAATGTGTGAGGGAGAGAGAGAGGGAATGTGTGAGGGAGAGAGAGAGAGAGAGGGAATGTGTGAGGGAGAGGCTGGGAATGTGGGGGGAGAGAGAGAGAGAGGGAGAGAGGGAGTGTAGGAGAGAGGGGGGAAGAATGTGGGGGGAGAGAAAGGCCGGGAAATGGAACAGAGAGAGAGGGGAGGGGTGGGGGTGAGGGGGGGGAGAGGGGGAATGTGGGGGAGAAAGAGAGAGGGAATGTTGGAGAGAGGGAGAGAGAGGGAGGGAAGGAATGTGGGAGAAAGAGATGAGCAGAGAGGGAGTTTGGGAGAGATTTCCCGGCATTACATTGGGGTGAAAGCCAAAGATCATGAGCTGAAAGACTTCACTTAATAATAATAATAATAATAATAATATTCCTGGCATTTGATGCTGCGCCTTCTCGTGTCGTCGAGACGTCTCGAAGCTTCCAACTCCGCGGGTTTTATTGGGGTTTTTCTTACCACAAGTGGTTATTTGAGGCCGAAGCAGTACAATCAGTCGTTCAAAAGGGGGAACTCGATAAACTCCTGAACGGTAAAGCGTTTAGCCATTTGCAAAGAGAGTTGGATAGTGGGGTCTAAGGGAGGGGTGGGGGATGGTAATTTAGTTTTTTTTCCCAAAAAAAAGGTTGGAGTGGCAACAGAGATCGGTGACGATGAGTCAAGCGGCTGTGCTGAAAGTTTCTATTGTCAGTTTCAGCATTGGTTAGATACAGAGTAAATCTACGCTGTCCTATCCAGAACTACCAGATCAGCTACAGCACAGTGACCTGTTCTACCTATTGCCTGACCTGGGAACTTACACTACTGACTAATGTTAAATTGTAAAACACTGCAACCCCCAGTAGTGTACCACGAGTACAGGCAGCAATTAACCCAACAATGTGGTGGTGTTATGGCGGGTATTGTAAACATTCACATTTAAGATACCATAAGGCTAGCGTTGTTAGGTTTGGATTGACAAAGGTGATGGAAATTCGGGGTGAACCTGGTCTTTCTCAACAACAAGTTGCTTTTATATAGGATATCTTTCAGGTCGGGGGAACGCCCCAAGGCGCTGGACAGTCGAGGGTTTGCACAGGGTCTCAAAAACAAAATTGAGGAACGTGTATAAATTGAATCCATTGGAGCAAATAGCTGTGTGTCTTTATAATGTGTTATGCTTAGCCTTGCGTGTGAACCCTTGGTCAGTAACTGAGATGAAACTTATGTTAATGATCATCAAAACTTGTGAAGTCTGTTAAACATTTAATTGCTTATTTATCCTGAGCCCAGTATTGTACTGACTAGGAGGTGACTGAGGTGGGACGAATTCTGCTGGTGTGAGTATAATTCTGGAGATGAATTGGGTTAAATTGAGATCAGATTTCAGGACAAATATGACCTCCAATTGTCACTGTGAACGTATAATGAATGTAACTGATTCAGCACAAGAGGTACAGGCTTCCTTTTCAACTGTTTTGTGCACCACATATTTAAACAGTTGGGATTATTTTTCCCAAGGGACTAGTGCTGTGGTATTTTTGTGACTGATGGAGGTGCCCTGATCTAATCTAGAATTTGAAACCTATGCGAATCTTCATAGTTTCCCCAGATAAATCGCAAGATGCACTGGATTTCAGAGAATCCAATTATCAGTCATTTTGGGGCAACCATTTTATGTCAAAATCCACTTGTGAGCAGAGCCCTAAAGGAACCAGAAAGTGTTCTCTGTATACGTGTTTGGGGTATGGAGAGGACAGAATAAAACCCTGCTATGTGATTGTGAAGATTCAGTCGACGCAGGCTGACTGTTGAGTTCACTGTCTGATTTGACTATCCTGCTTTGTCCCTTATACTAACCAGATTCAGGTTCCACGGATGTACTGCACAATTTCTCCACTTCATCATGTTTGCTTAAATCCACAACCCTCACGGAATTTGCTTCCTGTTCAGTTTGACACATAGTAGTGTTTTGTGGGGTTTAATTCAGAGAACAATGTATTTAGCATTGTGTGGTGGTGTGCAGGAATGAGATGTCACGGCAGAGATGTGTGCTTATTGTGTGTTGGGAATTTGAATGAGTTCTGTGTAATGCTGTGTGCTGAAGGCAGAGGTCTAATGGCTCTGACCCTGCCATGCACATCGCTTACCAGCTACATCGGATCACTGTAGGACCTCTGGTTTGTGGGGACTCTTGGTCTATTAATGCACCCTTGGTCTCATTCAATTTTGAACTGAAAAGACATGATTCAAACTCATTCCATTTTTCCCAGTTCTGCTTTTTTTTTCTATCCGTAGTTTTCTCCCCTCCTGGAGCCTTCTGGTACCTATGTACAATCTCACCCAGTCAGCCTTTGGTGTTCAGAGCCCCACTTTACATCTCTCCTTGGCAATTGCCGACAGGGATACTTTTCTACCACGATCAATGAAAACTAATGGTTCCTAACCTCCTTTCATTCCTTTTATGAGAAATGTATATTTGTATTGAGTTGTTGACTAGTGGAAATGATCTTGTCATTTAACCAAACGTAACTGTTCATAATCTTGAAGTCTTACTATCAGATCATCCCTTTTTGTCTCTTGTGAAAATTCCTAACTTCTCAACTCTTCTTCATAACTGGAACTCCTTATCTCCAGTGACATTCTCAGATGGGCGGTGCAGAGCTCTTGTCTACATTTGTAGTCCCACTGGAAATAAAACCAAAGTCACTGTTGTGATTCTGGTAACACTGCCAATGGCCATCAGTTCAGTTTCTCTGAAAATTACATTAAAGAGAATGTAATCACTATTATATTGAGAGTGTCTGCAAGCCGAGAGCTTTCTGAATGCCGTGGGACTTATTTTAATATTGCTACATGGTCCCTTGCCACTCAATGTAAAATTAATCTTTAAATACTACTGCAGTGATGGTTTGAATAAGGTTGGATATTTCTGAGATTCTGACTTGATAAAATCTTCTCCACAACTTTGGTTATTGAGGTGAAAACACCTTTACAATATAATCAAATCCATCCCCACAATGGAGCTGTGGACTATCTGTGGTAACATGTCTGTAAATTGGTCCTGTTGAACTGATTCTAGTTAATGGAAGGGAAATAAGTGTGTTCACTTGTTCTGCTGACTCACTTTCTAAAGGAAAAACAGTATAGTGTACTCTTTCACTGAATCCAATAAGTATAACGTTCTCCGTTTACTTGTGGAACATAACGTCTAACAGAGAGACTTTATAAAGTATCTACGTAATGTATTCTTTACTTTAGTCTAGTGAGGGTGTACTCTGTTGCCCGATCTTCAATCCGATCTTGGGACATTATTGGCCATGTCCTTAGGCAACTGGCAGCTGTTGAACCACATGGATTGTAAATTTGTTGCATGCAAACATTTGTGGCTTTCTTTTTGGTAAGGCAGCACTGCTTGGGACATCCTGATGGGCCAAATCTCTGAATTACTCTCACCAGGGCAGGTAAGGAATGAGGTCGAACCCATCCTGATTCTAATCTTTTTGAACTGGACCGTGGCACAGATGGGACAGAGACGTCCTATTTACCACGTGTCCTCCAGGCAGAGCAAAGCAGGAGCTCCTGTTGGAAGCTGTTCCGTCCCACCATCTGCTAATTCCATTCTGTTGAGCTGTCAGATATCATGAAGAGAATTTCTAACACCCGCCTCTGCTTGTGCCATGTTTCTCATCAGTAATTTCATTTATCACCATTCCATTCCCCCCACCCCGTACTATAATCCTTGCATTTGGTACTGAATGCCTTTGCCCAGCTGTTTCGCTCTCCACCTGGAGGCAATGTCACCTGGTACATAAACAGACATTTCTTGCACAGAGGGAGACAGTTTGGCCCATTTACTGTACCTTTTGACTGCCTTGTTTTGCTTCTTTTATTTTCCTTATCTTTTCCATTGCACTCCCTCTCTAGATTGAGAGGCGTCTGCTTGCTGGTGGTGGTGACCTGAGTTTACCTGTCCTGTACTGTTCATGCTCACTGAGCAGTAAGTGTTGCCTCCATTAGCAAGGATCAACCACTTAATCAGTAGTGAAAGAAAGACAGATTACCATACACTCAACCAATGTTGAAGTATGTCAGGCCCAATATGCTTAACTGGCCTCGTGACAACTGTGATCTGAAACCACTCCAAAGAAAACAAGTTGGCATATTCGAAAACACTCTTGGTTTGCATTCAAATTTTGCTGGTATCTTGAAAGGAACTTTGAGTACAGCTGCATTACTGGGACAATTTAAATCATTCTATGCTACTTTGAACTGGCAGGTACACGAGTCAGAATGCATCTGGGCTCCGTCACAATAGATCTCATCTAGTGCTGTATGGAGCCGCTTGCTATTCCGGCAGCTCTACGTTGGCATCGCTTTATTTTCCGAGGTTCATGATTAATGTGCTTCAGGACTAGTTAAGATGATTAATGTGCTTCAGGACGCTTTGATGCTGCCCATTACCCCAAGTCCCATTGTGAGGAGATCTGGAGATCAGCTCCAAATGTCACCATTCTCAAGAGATCTCCCAAGATTTGGTGGAAGGTGATCACATTTATTTCCAGCAGAGTAGGCTCAGCTGTGCCATCCCTCTGGGGAAGATGGGAGTCGTGGGACTAATTGTGTCCAATAAGATGTTTGCTGAAAGGTTCTTTGAAATCCAAAGCCAGATATCAAATGTCCCATCAAAAGTGCAATAAACCGATCAGCCAAATCAAGATCAGCCAC